TCTATCTATCTATCTATCTATCTATCTATCTATCTATCTATCTATCTTCATCTATCTATCTATCGTATCTACCTTCTATCCATCTCTCTCCCCCCCTCCCTCCCTCCGTCTCTCTCTCTCTCTCTCTCTTCCTTCCTCCCTCCCTCCCTCCCTTGGTCATAAAATTGGGTGGGCCCCCTTTAACAATGGCCTCGTTTCCTATCTCCATCAAGGACTAGCTGCATTGTAAATTATCCCTTTCTGGGGACCGAGCTTCCTTGTAACAGCAAATAATTAAATAAAATTACTACAAGTTCTAATTGCAGAGAGTGCTTTATTTAGGACCAGGTGAGTGGTGCACCTGGATCCAGTTCAGGAGACACAATCACAAGGGGGGAATTTTGCTTCGTCAGCCCGATTTGGCTCTGGAGTCAGCAGCGGAGATTATGACTAAGGTCGTGTCTAGTTTCTCTATCCTGAGAAAGTGAGTTCAGCCAACTTTTGGGGGTGACTCACGCAAAGTATCTAAACCTTTTGCACCCTGGAGTATCCTAGCCAGAGGCTGCAATTCTCACGTGTCTGTTCCACGTGACACACTGCCACAATTTTCTGGCTGGAAATTGAGGTTTGCTTCCAGTCCCCAGCAAAACAACCAAATCCCACTGCACAATGGGTTCGCTTAATGATTGCCCCCCCCCCAAATGATCATCAAATAGGGGACAGTCCCACAAAGATCCGCTTAACATCCAGCACGACTTCATGACCGTAATTTCTGGGCTCAATTGCGGTCCTAAGTTGAGGACTGTCTGTATAAAAGCCCCTTCAACTGTTTCACCCACCGTCAAGTTTTCAGAAAAAGTTGGCGAAAAAAAACACAGCCTCCCTTCCTCCGTGGCATGTGCCCAAAATTGCCGAAGATACAGATAGTTCTCAACTTACGACCACAGTTGAAACAGAAATTTCTGCTGCTGAGCAAGTTGGTTGTTAAGTGAGTTTTACTTCATTTAACAACACGGTGTCCATCATAAATACGAGTCAATTGCCTTATTGGACTAAAATACACACATGATTTGAATAAAACGATAAAACAGCATAGAGACTTAAAAAAAGAGACATTTTCATTAGGGATTTTACCTGAAGGTTATAGTAAGGAAATCATATATTTGATTACTCATGTTATTTAACTGCGGCTAGAATTGGAAAAATGAGAAAATTCCAGAGGAAGAAGAGGTGATTAAGAAAATAATGGAATGGGCAAAAATGAGTAGATTGACATTAGAAATTAGAGATCAAGAAGAAATGGAGTATTATATGATTTGGGATTTATTTTATCAATGGTTAGATAGAAGAGTAACAAATTGAAGTATATTATAATAGTAATGATATATTATAATTGATTATTTTTAAATAAGTTACACTATGAATATCATTTAATAAGAATTGAGTTTTACTTTTAAAGACAGCCTGGAAATGAAACTAAAATCTAAATAATAGAGTAATAATGAGATAATATGATATGGAATGTTGATTAGAATATAATATGAATGTAAAATTAGGAGGATACGATTGTAAATATTGTGAACATTATATATATACATACATACATACATACACCAAATTGACACACTATATAACTAAAATATGGTTTTATTTATTATGTTGCACATTATAAAAAATAAAAAACTTTTTCAAAAAAAAGTTAAAACTAAATATGAGTCCCTTGCCAAGGGGTCTGAATTTTGATCACTGAACCATGGAGATGTTTCAATGGTTGTAAGTGTGAAAAATGGCCATAAATTGCTTTTTTTCCCATCGCCGTTGCAACTTCGGTCACTAAATGAACCGTTCTAAATCAAAGGCTACTTTTAGGTGAAGAAAGCACGATAGCTGGCATGTATTTAGGGTGGCTGCACTGTCTTCGGAGCAACGTCGATGGAAGAAGCCAGGATTCGCTTCAACAACCACACTGGTTTGCTTTAAGGACTGCGGCGGTTCATTTAACAAAAAAAACCCCGTAAATGGCAAAAACGGGAAACGGGGCACAACCCTCTTGAAACGGTTCAGAAGCTGTTTTTTTTTTCCACGGCCTTTAGAAAACGTCTGTCACTAAATGAACGGCTGCAAATTGAGGACTACCTGCGAATTGCGAATCCTTTGGAAATCAAACCTGGCTTGGATTACACCAGCCGGCCTGAGTTCAAGCAAGTTTTTGGCGTGACTCACGGGAAGTTGCTCGCTCTTAATTCCTTCTAACAAAATTCCTGCAAGATCCATCGAGCCTCATGTGTCTTTTCCACGGAGGCTGCCAAGCTTTGAACCCGCAGGGGGACAAAGGAGCGCGCTCATTAAATCAACACCGACGCCCCAAATTTAAACAGATCTCAGCGGTTTTCAGGTTTGCGAGCTATTCTTTTTTTTGTCTTTTTAAATAGATTTTATGAAAGTTTTACAATTAAAAAAACCCCCACACAAATCATGTTTACAGTTTTTGCAACACATTGTAGCATCGGGTTTTTCTATTATTCATAGGTATATACATATATACATTACTCATATTTACATTATATATTATCTATTATTCCTACTCTCTATCCAAGTATATAAATTCTTCCAGACCGTATAGAATTCTCTTTTTTCCTTCTCTTGCAACTCCCATAGTAAGCTCATTCATTTCCGCACAATCCATAATTTTTCTAATTAACATATTGTCTGCGGGATTACCCTCCACTTTCCAATTCTGAGCCAAGGTTATTCTCGCCGCTGTCAGAATAGGTATTGTGAGACATTCAATTTCTTTTTTATATTCGCCTCTAATTATCCTAATAAAAACATTTCTGGTTTGAATTCTATTTTTTTCCTTTATTTTTATTTTATTCCAGAATTTTTTGGCTTTGGGGCACAACCCTCACATATGAAAGAAGGTACCCGTTGTTGGTTTACACTTCCAACATATTGGACTCAAATTTGGATAGATCTTGGCCAATGGTGCTAGATGCCAACGATAGAACATTTTATAAAGGTTTTCCCTATACAGGGCAACCATTGTTAATTTATAATTTCTCTTCCAAAGTCTTTCCCAATCCTCTAATTAAATATTATATCCAAAATTTTTCATCCATGCTATCATTGTCTGTTTTACTATCTCCTCCTCTGTATCAAATTTTAGAAGGTAGTTATAAATTCTGGATATACATTTTTCTTCTGGTCCTAATAAGATTTTGTCGAGCTGTTGAGGGCTTATGTCTGTGCCAAATTCTTCCATATCTTTTTTTATACTTCGTTTCCACTTGCAGATAGGGACACCGGTCTAACTTAAATCGTTCTTCCTTCAATTGAGAGCTTTTCTTATATGGGCCGCCCCACCAAAGAGGAGTTAGTAACTTGCAATCTTGGTTTACGAATCCTGGCTCGTTCGTTGTTTCCCAATAACATCAACAGGATGGGCTGCAAAAACTAGGTTTTGCGCGGGTGCATCTCCCTACGACCCGCAACCTCTTTATTATCAATGTCTATTCGGGGAGTCCTCATTTCAGTCGCAAGTTGGGACAGTCGTAAACTGGGTCGGTTGCTAGAGGATCAACACCCAAGAAGATAGGCTCAAGATCCAGATGGATCCTGACAAACTAGAACACTGGGCCGAACCTAACAAAATGAAATTCAGTGTAGAGGAAAGTAAAGTCCTACACTTAGGCAAGAAAAACCCAAAAGGACACATATAGACTGGGTGAAACTAGGCTCAATAGCAGGAACTGTCAGAGGGATCTTGGAGTCTTGGTGGACAACCAGCTAAATAGGAGCCAGCCGTGTGCAGCAGCCACCCAAAAAGCCAACGCAATCCTAAGTTGCATTAACAGAGGGATACAATTGAGATCAAGGGAGGCACTAATACCACTCTGTAAAGCCTTAGTAAGGCCACACCTGGAGTACTGCATCCAGTTTTGGTCACTATAAAAAAGGATGTTGAGACTCTAGAAAAAGGGCAGAGAAGAGAAACCAGGATGATTAGGAGACTGGAGACTAAAACATACAGCGAACAGTTGCAGGAACTGGGCTTGGCTAGTCTAGGGAGGAGAAGGACCAGGGGAGACAGGAGAGCATCTTCCAATATTTGAGGGGCTGCCCCAGAGAGGAGGAAGGGGTCAAGCTATTTTCTAAAGCACTTGAAGGCCAGACAAGGAATAATGGATGGAAACTGATCAAGGAGAGATTCAACCTGGAAATAAGGAGAAACTTTCTGACAGTGAGAACAATCAACAGAACAGAAGTTGCCCTCCGGAAGTTGTGGGAGCTTCATCCCTGGAAGCTTTCAAGAAGAGACTGGATTCCCCGCTGTCAGAAATGGTGTAGGGTCTCCTGCTTGGGCAGGGGGTTGGACTAGATGACCTATAAGGTCCCTTCCACCTCTGATGGTCTGTTATCTGTTAACTGCAGCGATTCACAACGGTGGGAAGAAGGATTGTAAAATGGGGGTTCTATTCCTTTAACAATTGCCTGGCTTAGCCATGGAAGTTTTGGGCTCAACTGAGGTCATTTAAGTTGAGGACTATCTGTATTTCGGACCTGCACATGCACAGCCTTTCTCCAAGGCCAGAACCCCGAACAGTTAAATGAAATCTGAAAATATGATAGGATGGTTCTTAATCCACTTACCCTCAATTGGCGTTACTATCTTTGTATCCCCGGTTTTCATTCTATCTCTTGTAACTTGAGAAAACTTTCGATATTTTTTTTTGTATTTGCTTTTATTTTTATTCTTCAAAATCCATTAGAAAACATAGACCTCTGACCGTTCTTGTGAAACGTAACGCAAAATCTGAAATAATTGCCACTATTTTTTGCCCTTCCTTTCTTCAGCCAGGGATCGTGAGATTAAGTTTTTCAATTTCCCACAAAAACCTTGTGTGACTTTTTCAAGGATTTGGAGCTGAGCAGGACGCTGGAGGTCATTTCCATTTCCTTTTGTGTCTTGGAAGAGGCCTATAGGTGATCCTCAACTTACAACTATTTGTTTAGGGACCACCTAAACTTACAAACACTAAAAAAAAAAAGATTTATGATGTTTTTTTTTGCACTTACGACCGTCGCATCCTTCCCATGTTCACCTGATCAAAATTTCGATGCTTGGCAACTGCCTCGTATTTACGACCGTTGAACTATCCCAGGGTTATAGGATCCCCTTTTGCTTGCTTCTGGCAAGCGAAGTCCATGGGGAAGCAAGGCTCACTTAACAACGGTGCTACTAACTTAACAACAGCAAGCGGTTCACTTAATGACTGTGGCAAGAAAGGTTGCAAAATGAGGCAAACCTCTCTTAGCAAGTGTCTCATGTAACAACAGTTGTGGTCATAAGTCAAGGATTACCTGTATTTGGTGAACTTGAATTTTAGGAAAGAGTTGACATGTAACTAAGAAAATCTCTCTCTCTCAATCATCTATCATACATACATATGTATATATATACATATACATATATATATACATACATACAAACTTGTTTTCTGAGGTTCTCGCGGGTATCTAGGCAACGTTTCGATGAAGTCTCATTCATCATCTTCAGGCTTGTGTCTTCGGCTTTGTGCTTCTCAGAGTACTAAGCACAAAGCTGAAGACACAAGCCTGAAGATGATGAATGAGACTTCATCAAAACGTCACCTAGATACTTCCAATCTTACGCGGGAGAAAACCCGAATAACCAAAGATCCACATACATATACATACATACATACATACACAAACATACATATACATGCATACATATTGCAAAAAGTTCCCCAAGTATCATGTTTCATTCTCAGGACGGACTGGGAAGATCCCTGCCTGAGATTCTCAGAATATGCCCTGCACAATGCCTTTAATTTGATTACTGAATTAATCCACTTTTCTGCATTCACACAACATACTGGAGAATAGAATAGAGTAGAATAACAGAGTTGGAAGGGACCTTGGAGGTCTTCTAGTCCAGCCCCCTGCCTAGGCAGGAAACCCTACACCACTTCAGACAAAGGGCTATCCAACATCTTCTTAAAAACTTTCAGTGCTGGAGCACCAACAACTTCTGGAGGCAACTTGTTCCGCCGATTAATTGTTCTCACTGTCAGGAAGTTTCTCCTTTAATTCCAAGTTGCTTCTCTCCTTGATGAGTTTCCACCCATTGCTCCTTTTTCCTGCCTCTTCAGGGGCTTTGGAGGATAGCTTGACTGGACTCTACATAAACCCAACAGGATTGATTCAGCCACAAACATAACCCACAGCAAATAACCGATGATACAATTTAAGAAAGCTCAACCACAACCAAGCTTGATTCCAGCCAAGCTCAATCCCAACCAAGCTCAACCACATCTAATAACAACCAATAATAACCAAATTCGATTCAAACCAAGTCCAGCACACTGGGCACGTATGCTACAGATAAGACTTGATTTGACATCCTACAGCTGCCACTGATATTTGTCTAGTTTTTTTCACAGCCTCCAGATTGGACTCTGGAGCGCACCTGGAAGAGAAATGCTCCAAACCAGGGATGTCCAACCTTAGCCATTTTAAGACCTGCGGACTTCCAAAGGGCTAGCTGAGGAATTTTGGAATTGAAGGCCGCAGGTCCTAAAACGGCCAAGGCTGGACATCCCTGCTCTAAACTGAACAAAATCAAAATTCAGAGACCGGAACATCTGCCCAGTAGTTTCCCTTGGTGAAGATCTATCTATCCCTGACCAGGTGTCCACTGGTTCTACACAGCCTTTGTGATGACCCAAAGGGGCGTGGCACAAAGGCAACACAGTCAGATAAGCAATAACAGTCGCTTTATTAACTCCAACTTTGGCCCCAATGTCCAGGTTACCCTCCCAGGAACAGCCTTTGACTGTAGAAAATTCGGTCCAAAACAAGGCACACACAAACTGTAATTTAAAATCCAAACAAACCAAACCGAAGTAATTAGTTCGGCACAGCGGGAGCAGGAACTTCAGACTTCAAAGCACGGCAAAACTCACACAGTTGGGAAGATGCCAGGAGCACAGATAAGCCACGATAATACCAGACAAACCCACGTTGGTTCCCAGAAGCTGCCGCTCTCAGATTGCATCTCTTTTAAACTCTCTTCCCAGGTGTGCCTAATGAAGGGAATCAGGGCCCTTTCCTTCCCCGTAAGCCATGCAACCCACGCTGCTCCCTTCTCCGTTCCTCCCTGCGTGCCCTAGGATGAAGAGGGGGTGGGCCTGGGTCATCTTCTGAACTCCCTCTCCCTTGTTCTACCACTTCCCTGCTCTGCCCAGCCGGACTTTGCCCTTCCCCCAGTTTCTTCCACAGCCCACGGAGCCACACTCCCGCTCCCTGTCGGCTGTTCTGCTTCCTCTTCCGAGTCAGTTTCCGACAGGAGCAGAACAGCCTTCTGTATTTCTCAAAAGAGACATTTCCTGGCCTGGGGTTGCTTGGAGACAGGAGAAGACACCCCTTGCAAGAGAATCAGAATGGGAAAGTGCCGGTGAAGACTTACCCGGGTAAACAGACGCCGCACAAGGCGTCTGCAGTCGCTGTTCCGACACGGATACGGACTCTGTTCTTGGCCTCGCAAGAAGTATGCAGTGAGCAGAATTCCAGGTCGGAGGTGGAAGAGAAGAAACCAGCCGAACAGGGCTTGCAGGCCATTCTCAATCCTGAACCATAACCACATTTCTGTGGGGAAAACGAAACCAAAAATGCTGCTTAAAGGAATGATATTCGTGTTTATCCTGGAATACCTTCCAACCCCTTTTGGGAATTAGGTTTAAGTATTGCGGGGTTCTTGGCGCTCTCTGAGATTGGCTGTTCTCGTGCAGATGTTTCCAGACCCAACTAGGCAACATCATCAGTACTAGAAGGGAAGGGGTTTACCGAGAGAGGAGGAGGAGAAGGCGTCAACTCATAAAACATTCCTATGACTGTTTTAGTAGTTGCTATAAAAAGGGGGCCCAGGAAAGAAATCTGGAAGAGCCGTGCAGCAGTTTGGAAGCGAAAGTACATTCCAACTCTTCACTTTAAAAGGCTGTAACTAAACTACCAGAGCTTTTGCCCGGGAATGTATTGAATTGGAGAGCGTGATTGATGACACCCAGCCTGTGAAGGGGCTCAATTGGAGAATCTGGTTGATGAGACACCCAGGAGAGAGGGGAGGGGGGAAAACAGGGTCATAGGGAACTGTAAATGACGTAGGCCAGAGTTGGCGTCCAACAGGGCAGTGCCAGTACGTCGCCTCTAATAAATCCTTGGAAGTTTTTTGAAGTTTGGCTCGAGGATCACGATTTAATTTTGGCTTGGTTGTTTTCTTGCAGGCGTCTTATTACTCAACTCGGTAACATCATCAGTGCTAGAAGGGAGAGGGGTGAGGCTTCCGCCCGTTCGCCAAACTGAGCAAACGGTTGACGAACAATTCTAGTAAACAGATGCGAACCAGCTGAATCCCACCGCTGGGTTTACTCTCTGTTTACATACAAGTGGCTCGCCCTTTTAGTGTTTGGTGCCAGTTTCATTATTACAGATAGCAAATATCCTCCCACTCTAAACCAACGACGATGGTAGCATTGTCATGAATACCTCTCCTTTCCTTCCTTCCTTCCTTCCTTCCTTCCTTCCTTCCTTCCTTCCTTCCTTCCTTTCTTCCTTCCTTTCCTTCCCTTCCCGTCCCTTCCCGTCCCTTTCCTTTTTCCTTCCCTTCCCTTTCTTTCCTTCTTCCTTCTGTTCTCCCTTCCCTTCCTTTCGTTTCCTTCCCTTCCCCTTCTCTCCTTCCCCTCTCTCCCTTCCTTCCTTCCCTTCCTTTCCCTCCCCTTCCTTCCTTCCTTCCTTCCTTCCTTCCTTCCCTTCCCTTCCCTCTCCCTTCTGCTTCATTTGGGTATTGAAGGAACTCCCAGAATTCTCCAGCCAGCATGAATTCTGGGAGCCGAAGTCCACAAATCGTCAAGGGCCCAAAGTCGAGAAACACCAGTTTGGTCAATCAGACCCATTTACTGAGTTCACACATGGACCACTACACGGAAAACGTGATGCTGTGTGAATGGCGATCCTGTTGTGGTTGGTCAGCAGCCGGTGCAGACAGCAGCGGAGTCGGCAGTGAGGAAGAAAGGGGACCGGTCAGGGAGTCTGGAGAGGACTCGGATGAGGGTCCTGCGTCCGATGCAGAGATGGGGCCAGGACCATCTGGGAGTGGGGTGCTGACTCCGGAGACTCCGGAATCTGGCAGCAGCGAGGCAGAGGAACAGCGGGAGCCTGTTCCCAGTATGTGTGTGCGCAGAGCTGCTAGAAGGTGAGAGCAGCTGAAACAAAAGGGGCGACTTGGGAGTAAGGCTGGGAGGTGATTGCCCCTCCCCTAAGGGATAACAGTCAGGCCAAGGTGACGAAACCTTTGCAGGAAGCAAAGCCGTTCGATCGGTGCCGAGTCCTGCTTGTAGCTCTGTGTACTTTGGTTGTTGTTTTTTCTTGTACATCGGTGGGTTTCTTTTATAGTTAATTGGATACTTCTGTTTTTGGCCGCATGCCACAGCACTGAAAGGTGTGTGCTTATCTTGGGGGAGGGACTGTTTAAGATTAGTTCTGGCTGGGAATGAAAATAATTCCCAGCGTTGCAATAAAATAGGTTTTTGCTTTTCAAACAAGCTTGTGTTTCCTTACGTTTGATGAAGCTTGGGTCAGAACAGAGACAATTTACTCACTCTGTCAGGCTCTTCTCCGGCTGGGCAGGATTCGCACAGGAGACAGCGGCCGTCCGCACCCCGATACTCTCGGTCCCCGCAGGCCTGAGCCCACGCTGGGTGCCAACACAGGGCCTAAAAATAACAGAGCAGACAAAAGCTTGTGATTCTATTTTTGCATTACCACCGTAAGGTTAGGAGGGAAAGGATACAGCAGGGAATGAACGCAAGTAAAAATAATTCTGTTTTCTACAGAAACTGTGATTCATTCCACTGTCCAATGCACGGCGGCGCAGAGTGATTCCTTTTCCTCATACAGCAGAATCAAAGGACTCCAGGCCTCTGAAAAGGTTGTGTTATAAAGAGAAGGTGGTGTAAGGTCTCCTTTTGGGGGCAGGGGGCTGGACTAGATGACCTCCGAGGTCCTTTCCACCTGTCTGTGTTTCTGTGTTTCCTTGAAGCTTGCAAATGGATGCTCCAAGTGATGTATTTGATCCAACTAAGAGCCTTCCTTCCCTCCCTCTTTTCTTCATTTTTTCCCTTCCTTCCCTCCTTCCCCTTCCTTCCTCCCTCCCTCCCTCTTCCTCCTTCTGTCCATCCCTCCCTCCCCCTTTTCTTCCCTTGTCATCCCTCAATCGCCTCCCTCCATCCCTTCTTCCCCTTCCTTCCTTCCCTCCCTCCCTCTCTTCCTCCTTCTGTCCCTCCCTCCATCTTTTCTTCCCTTGTCATCCCTCAATCGCCTCCCTCCATCCCTTCTTCCCCTTCCTTCCTTCCCTCCCTCCATCCCTCTTTTC